TAATCTGAGCTTTCTGCCTCTGAGCTCTCTGCTCTCCTACTTCCAATGCCTGCCTGGTCCTGGGAAAGGGGCCAGGGTCAGGAATACTTTCCAAGGACACTCAGTCTGTCAGCTGTCTCTTCCCTGGTGCTTCTTCTTCTTCTTCCTGCTGTTCCTCTTCCAATATTTCCCAGCTTCTGCCCTCTGCAGCCTCTGAACTATGCCCCTCTGCAAACCATTGTTCTAAATCTATACTGTCCTCCTGTTCTCGGGAGGGTTCAGGATAAGGGGGGTGGCAGCCCCACCATTCCTCCTCAGTCCAGCCCCTGCCACTTAACTTACATTATTCTATAGTGCAGCATGCATGCAAATGGAGGTTTCCCTGCAATGGCAGACCCAGAAATGCTTCCTTGCAACCCTTCCTTGCTGTATTTTTGTATGCCCCTTAAAGACCTTTAACTATTAGCAAGTTTAGAAATGCTTTTCAATAAGTAAATAAAATAAGCCTTGTCCCCCAAAGAAGTCAGCGTCACCTTAGAATGAGCTCCACCTCACAATGGTAGGCTTGTCCTGCTGGTTTTACGCATGCAGCTCTCGGGCACTTGAGATTCATGGAAAGGAATGTGATTTTGAATGGTGGTGCAAAACACTGGGAGCGGAGAAGCACCCATGCCAACCTACTGGCAGGATGAAACAACAGCTGCCTACATTCAGCCTGGCACTGAAGATCCTGAGCCTTTGAATACAGGCTCTGTATCGTTTGTTGGTCTATTCAGTGGCGCAAGTGCTGACACTGGCATGTGTTCAGGGAACTACCGCCTTTTATGTTTTGCTTTCATCTTTTTTTCTGCTGCTGTTCCTTCCCTAAGCCATGATTCAGAGAAAAGGAAGGACTGGAATGATCTAACTGCTACAGTCTCTACCATGTGCAAGAAGTTAAACACTTTTTAATGTACTTCTTTATTTTAAATAAATTAAGGTTAAATATATAGGGTGGCATCCAATTTGTGTATCTTGTCAGCACAAGAATTTCCACTTGTGCAATGAGACTTCCCCCTCTCTTCTCTGCTCTCCCAAAATCTTCTCTGGAGCATTCAGGGAACCCCCTAGAGCAGGTTTCAGGTGAACAGGGGGAAGAGAGTGGAAATCCTCATGCTGATATTACTCAGTGCTACTTTGGATACAATCTATGATCAATACAATTCAGAATGCAAGGATCGGCACAGAATAATATTAGTAGCTAAATTAAATAGAGAAAGCCTCCCAGAAGAGAAACATTTCAACATTTCTTTAAAATGAAAGGAGTGGAGTTTAGATGGCATCTCTCCGAAAAGGGTTCCATGGTTTTGGCGGTGCCATTGAAAAGGCGCTCTCTCTGGAACTCCATAAAGAAATATAATTTAAAGCAAACAGAGCTTTAAACTATAACCTTAAACCTAGGATAGATTCATACTGGGAAACTCCGTAAGTATTGTGGGAGAATAATGACACTGCACTCTAGTTTCGCATCTTTTCATTTAAAACAAAAACAAAAACTTAGCCCCTAGGAAAGATGCCAGGACCAGGGCAGGGCGAGAATTCAAAGGAACCAACTCCTTCCTAGTCTCCCAACATACTTCCAAACCTGGGAGAAAACTATGGCAGCCTGGACCTGATACAGTTACCAGGCACTATGACTGAGCAAAGCATCCCAAGGTCTTCAGATGCTGCTTCAGTACCATGGACAGCTCCCACCTCATTGTCCATGTTTCTTTCTGCTAGTGTGCCTGCCCTACCTATCCCTGATTTGCTTTCCCCTCTCATAGCCTTCCTCGAAATGGTGCCCTCTACATCTTCCGCCAGGCCCAGCCAGCACGACCAATGGTCAGGGATGCTGAGAGTTGGAGTCTGACAACATCTGGAGGATACCAGCTAGGGCAAGGCTTCCTAAATATCAGGGATTAGCAGTGAAACCAGAATGGTTCCAGCATGGAATCTTATACGGTACATAACAATGCAATAGAGATCTTGGAAGTGTTAGCCGTTGACTGGCAGTGGTTCCCCAGCATTTCAGAAAGGATCTCTCCTGGTTCTTACTAGAGATATTGGGGGTTGAACCTGGGATCTTCTGCATGCAAATCAGATGCTGCAAGACCGAGCTATGCTAGCCACCCTTCCTCCAGTATGGAATTGCTGTTTGCCAACTTAGCCTGAACTGACAATGGGCATAAAGGTAAAGGTAAAGGGACCCCTGACCATTAGGTCCAGTCGTGACCGACTCTGGGGTTGCGGCGCTCATCTCGCTTTATTGGCCGAGGGAGCTGGTGTACAGCTTCCGGGTCATGTGGCCAGCATGACTAAGCCGCTTCTGGCGAACCAGAGCAGCGCACGGAAACGCCGTTTACCTTACTGCCGGAGTGGTACCTATTTATCTACTTGCACTTTGATGTGCTTTCGAACTGCTAGGTTGGCAGGAGGACAATGGGCATATGGATAATCAAAAGGGGGGTTCTGGAAAGTGAAACACATGAACTACTTCAATACAGCAGCTCCAATCTGGCGTGAGTCCAGCCTCAACTTGAGTAAGTCCTTATTGGAACTGAGGCTCTTAGCCCACCTTTGCTACCCTCTGTTATCTTTGTCTCAGTCTCTCTCCAACAGACTTACTTTCAGAAAGGGGAGAGGTAGCAGAGGGAAGAGGGTTTCAATCAACCTAGGAGACATCTCACTTGCTTACTTACTCAGCACGATGGCATCTTACCCTTTAAGACATGGATAGCAAATAATGCTGGACTCCCATTGTCCCTGAATATTGGCCAGACTGTCTGGGGCATATTAGAGTTGTAGTCCAATAATATATGGAAGGCACCAAGTTACTTATCCCAGGATTAAGAGATACAAGGGAACCCTGAGAGGGCCATGCGGTGAACCAAAGATTGTCAGTCCTCGTCTACTGGAGAGGAATTCAAGAATTCTATTATTCAGTCTTAGGAAATACATGAAGAGCAGGGACAGCTTTGGATCTTCAACTGGGCAATCCCAGACACTTCTGCTTAATTAGGGTAAGAAACCTTATTGTCATTGAATGGTATGTGAGGAGGCAATGAGAAGAGATTTAATTGATCATATCCACAGGCAAAAGAAGGGCTAATTAATAATAGGAGAGTAGAATATAATGGATTGGTAGTTTGTGTAAACTGCAAGGTAATTGGACCCCTCATGCCATTGTTAGTATCAATCATACCTTTGTTCATCGCAAAGCCTGGCTGTCCAGAGACAGCAGAGAGACAATTGATCAATAATGAACCAGCATGTCGATAGAGCCTGTGAACTGTATTCCATTGTTCTACTCATTATGATTGCTGTGGTTGCCACATCTTAAGTATTGAGCCTGGGCAAAACTGTCATCCAGCAGCCCCTTCATTCCCAGTTCAAAAGCAAATATATCACACAAAGGATGACACTCCAAACTGACCATATCCAAGTTAGGAGGAAGCCCACCGTTTCTTGCTTGCCTTTAATCTGGGGGAACTAGTTTAATTATTCTAATACATCCTTGCTCAGAAGTGGCTTTGTACCCATTCTGGTACCTTTATATACTATTCATATATACAGTGTACGACAGTGCGACGGTCACCTCCAGGCTTGATTACTGTAATTCGCTCTACACGGGGCTGTCCCAGAAACTCCAACGGGTGCAGAATGCTGCAGCGAGGCTCCTCACGGGGTCTCTGCCATGGGAGCATATTCACCCAGTGCTTTTCCAGCTTCACTGGCTCCCGGTGGAGTACAGGGTCAGATTTAAGGTGCTGCTTTTGACCTTTAAAGCCCTTCACGGCCTAGGACCCTCGTACCTACGGGACCGCCTCTCCTGGTATGCCCCACGGAGAACCTCAAGGTCCATAAATGGCAACACCCTAGTGGTCCCGGGCCCTAAGGAAGTTAGATTAGCTTCAACCAGAGCCAGGGCCTTTTCAACACTGGCTCCGGCTTGGTGGAACGCTCTGCCTCATGAGACCAGGGCCCTGCAGGATCTGATTTCTTTCCACAGGGCCTGTAAGACAGAGTTGTTCCGCCTGGCCTTTGGCTTGGAGCCAGTTTGATTCCCTCCCCCTCTTGCTTTTTCCTTTTTCCTTTCTCCTCCTGTGATCAGGCTGCATTTTAATATTTTAATGTTTCAATATTTTAATGTTGTATTTTAATCTTGTTTTTAAGTTGCATTCATTCAGCTTGTTTTTATTATTGCTTGTTAGCTGCCCTGAGCCTGGCCTTGGCTGGGGAGGGTGGGGTAGAAATAAAAATTATTATTATTATTATCCTTGGCAAAGCTGCAGCTCAGTACCAGAGCATCTGCATTTCAGGTCCCAGGTTCTATCCCCAGCTAGAACAGGGAAAGTCCCCCATCTTAATCCTTGGAGAGCTGCTGTCAGTCAGTGCAGAGAGTACTGAACAAAGTGGACCAGTGATCTGAGGCTCAGAATAAGCCAGATTCCTATGTTCTGATGGGTTGTCTTCTGCTAACACTGAGAGATGCTTTTGTTCCACAGCAAAACAGAATGGGAGTAGCACCCCATGACTCTGTCTGAAGAGAAGGTTGCAGCTCTGCATCAGTGCTGAAAAGTTCTGATTTCTTTTTCAGGAGTCTTGAGGGGCTCTACTTTGTATCCCGGAGACACGCAACGTGGCATTGTAGCATATAGAGCATCACAATACATCTTTGTTATTAAGATTAATCCCTTAAATTGCCTTTCTATACAAAGTCATGCTAAATAAGCCTTGCCCGTATCTATATCATGCTCTTGTAAATTGAGACTAGGATAATCCATTACAGCAACAGAGATTTCCCCAAACTGTGTGTGTTCCTGCCAGCCCAAACAGGCTTAGATTTCCGTCCTTTGTGTCATCAATGTAGCTCCACTATCTTGCTCCTCTTTTCTCTTGAAGGTGTGTGCAACCCACCAAGCTGACTGCAGACTAGTATGGACCATTGTAGATACTGTCAGGAAAGGGGCTGAAAAAAATCAACTAGTATCATAGGACAAGGACCATAGGTCAGGGGTAGAGCAACGGCTTCGCATGCAGAAGGTTCCAGGTTCAATCCCTGGCATCTCTTAGTATGGCTAGAAGAGAACACTACCTGACACCCTGGAGAGTCACTGCCAGTCAGTGTAGTGACAGTACTGAGCTATGTGGACCAATGGTCTGACTTAGTGCATGTCTTGCTATGGTCCACACACATTTGGATACTGTGCTAACATAGAATTCTCACCCCTCTTCTGCATATTCCCATGTGGAAAGGCAAAAATCCTTTTCTGAGTCCTGTCAACACAATAATTACCTCCCAAACAGATTCTCTCATTTTGTCATGGGTATTCTCAGTATCAGAACATTGCAATTTGTTCTGTGTGAGAAAGAGTGCTTTGGGGGATCCCTCCAACCCCCCAACCTGCTTTCTTGCTGACAGTGATCTCCTCCACTTCTGACTGAATCACATATGGAGAACAATGAGGTCCTCTGCAGCCTTCTACAAAGAGTTGCTTACAAAGGGAACCCCTTAACGTGATATATTTTGCAAAAACGACTCCCCCCCTTTCCTTTAAACTTTGATACAGTCTTTTATCCCCAGACTGCCTGCCAAACATCAGAACCAGCCCATGTAGTCTGAGGTCAGGGGGACATAGCCACCAGCTCTTACTGGGTATAAACTACCACAGCCAAAACAAAATTGCTTCCAGAAATGCCCAATGAACATGTTTAGGTTGCATATTCACTAGACATTTTCCAGCTATGCAAAGCCTTGCTAAATATTTTCTATTTGATACCAGTATTTGATTTACTGTTATGTTTCATTTCAATATTTGACGTGTGACCATATCTAACAGCTGCTTTGCAATCAGCTGGCTAATTGGTGCTGCATATTGGCTAAGTGTCCACCTTTTCTTATGTCTTCAAACACAATCAACAAAAGGACCCACAAATATTGAAATATTATTGCAGTGTACTCCAAAAACAAAACATATATGAAAGGACAATGTGCAATAGTGCAAAGAGGACAATGAACAACATTACTAAGGAACAACTGGTTTTGACCAATTAAGTTTTTGACCATTAAGGGTTTGGTTTTCTTTTCCTTTTTGTCCCAATTAGTCCCATGTCCTTGGAATAGGTTTTCGAAGCAACATCTTTGGGGAATGTGTCAAAATAATTTATTTTGTGCACTAGTGGCTGAGCAGTTTTATTTTTGTTGAGAGGTCTGTGCAAGCAGGGGGGAAGGTGGAGGGAGGAATCTCTTATTTTCCTGTTGTGGGTTTTATTCAATTTAAATAATATTCCCATTGATTTCCATGTGTGTAAAAGATACTGCTTTCTCATTCCCTCACTCACAGGTTTCTCTGGTGCTTCTTAAAGTCAGACATCACAGGGACCCATTTGACAAATGTCTGACATGTAAAAAGTTGGGATTCTGACAAGTTGAATTTGTGTGAACCTTCATTTCGTTTGTGTGAAGCCTCGTTTCATTTGTGTGAAGTTCCATTTCACTGGGGCTTTACTTTTATTTCAGCTTTACTTAGGCAGTAGCAATCGCTGATTTTCAGGTGGAACGCCAGCTTGTAGTTTGAGAATATACAAAGAGCAGTGCTGGATGAGGCCAATGGTTCATTTAGTCCAGCATCCTGTTCTCACAGTGGCCAATCAAATGTCCTTAATGGAAACCAGCAAGCAAGACCCGAGAACAAGAGTGCCCTCTCCCCCTGTGATTTCCAGAAACTGGCATTCGGGGGCATTATTGTCCCTGACCATGGAGATCCCTGTTTGGGGATTTTGTAGAGGCCATGGAGGTCTAATCCTCTTTCAGTGCCATCCAAGGTGATGGCCATCACTGCCTCCTAAGAGATATGCAAGATATATGACATATAAATCTCTTCTACTGGGGCTGATCAATGGTATGTCATGTCCTACAGCCCTAACGGGCAAGAGCTCATCAAGAACTCAGTTTCTTTTCTTTCTTTGTTGCCCCAAGTTCTCTTTATAAACTGGAAGTCTCATGGAATGAGCCTAGGAACATCTGCAAGCAAGGCATGCCCTCTTCCTATTAACATCATCCCCTCTCCTTTCCAAGGTCAACCTTCACTATACTGAAAACACCAATGTTCAGCTCCATATCTTTCTAGGACCTGTTTTGATGACCCCACCCAGGCTCCTGGTGCACATATATGGAGCTTTGTATCAGCTGGTCACTGATAGGAGCATTGGAAAATGCCTTACACTGAGTCATATTCCTGGCCCATCTAGCTCTGTATTGTTTACACTGATTGGCAACAGCTCTCCAGGATTTCAGGCCAGGGACATTCCCAGTCCTACCTACAGATGCCTTGGATTGAACCTCAAGTCTTCTGCATGCAAAGCAGATGTTGTAACCCTTGAGCCTTTCCCCAGCTGGAAATATTGTAGAAGGGTACCATGGGAGCCTGAGCACAGCAGGAGAATGCCTGCATTGTTGTGGTGTCTGACAGCTGCAGTTCACATTTTGCCTCTGGAAAAGGGAAGCATCTTTTCTCAAAGGCATTTGTTATGTTAACAGCCCAGTTTGAGAGCTAAGCAAACCATCTTTGAACAACAGGCTACTGGGGCTTGTTTCTTAGCGGCTCTCCCTATCCATTTGTGATTAAAGTGCGTTTCCTCACACACCTTAAATAGAGAGCTTCCAAGCATTATTTTCCCCAGTGCAATTAGTGAACAGTGCCTCCAGTCGCCCAAAAAACCTACGTACCCATCCTGGGAAGATGCCACTAAGAATATTTCATGTGCTTAATCACACACGGAATTCTAGGCGTGGATTCAGCAATTCTCAAATTATCATTGCTCTGATGTGATCAGTGCATGTGGTGGCTTTCAAGATGAGCAAAAGAAAATGGTCTCTGTTGCAAAGAGCATGCAGTTTGAAGAGCTAGAGGGGAGAACAACTCCAATCAGGCTTGGCGTGTGTGTCTGTGTGAAATGTTTGCCAGCAGCTCAGAAAATACAGTGGTACCTCAGGTTAAGTACTTAATTGGTTCCGGAAGTCCGTTCTTAACCTGAAGCATTTTTTACCTGAAGCGGACTTTCCCATTGAAAGTAATGGAAAGTGGATTGATCCATTACAGATGATGAAAAACACCCCCTAAAACAGCAATTTAGCACAAATTTTACTGTCTAACTAGACCATTGATCCATAAAATGAAGATTTTAAAAGAATTTTTCGATTTCAAGTTTAAATAAGGAGACTGATTAAAGATCGTTTGGGATGCCAGCAAAGCTGTCCTTAGAGGATTTTTTATACAGTGGTACCTCAGGTTAAGTGCTTAATTCGTTCTGGAGGTCCGTTCTTAACCTGAAACTGTTCTTAACCTGAAACACCACTTTAGCTAATGGGGCCTCCTGCTGCTGCTGCACCGCCGCTGCACGATTTCTGTTCTCATCCTGAAGCAAAGTTCTGAACCCGAGGTAATATTTCTGGGTTACTGGAGTCTGTAACCTGAAGCATATGTAACCTGAAGCGTATGTAACCCGAGGTACCACTGTACCACAATTATTTACCTATTCAGTTCCAAGGCTGCTGAATTCCCCAGTGATGCCATCAGAGAAACAGTGCTTATTCCTTTTCCCAACTCCTCCTCCACGGAGTCTCCAACCCACTCCCATCCCTAATTACCTCCATCACTGCTTCAATGGAAGTGGAAGAGAAATGAAACAACAAAGAGGGGGCTTTTCCCCCCCAACTACCTTCCCTCTCAGACACCCGCCATGCTACATGCCCAACATCAGTAGCACTGGGAAATGTAGTTCGGATCAATTTGATTTTTATTGTGTTTCTATGCTGTTTTCAATCAAATGAATCTCAAAGTGGCTTACAAACAATAGATAACAGCAACATAATAAAAACATAGCAGAGCATCACAAATACAGCCCAAATCATGTGAAAGAATCGACAAATCATCAGTTGCAATCTCCAAGACATTATTAACGAACAGCAACTGGAAAGAATAAGCTAAGAGTACAGCGGAAGTCATGTTATTAACAAATCAATAAGGCATTTATACTCTATAAAGCAATGTCAACAACTACAAAAAAGCAACTTAAAAAATGAGCTAAGCGCTGTTAAGTTCATACGCGCACTCTCCACACCCCCATAACTCAAAATCATTCGCTCTGTTCAGTTCATAAAAATGCACATAAAACACACATGATGCCCATTGTTAAAGCCAGTTCAGCCCGGATGCTCAGACGTCACCATTCCTGAGTACAGCGCCTCCCAAAGGAAAAAACATGTAAAAAACATGTTTCGGTAATTGAACTTGAAGCCAAAATAGAATGTTGGGACCTGTAAGAGTATAAAAAGAGTCCTGCTGGAACAACCCAAAGGCTCATCTAGTCTAGCATCCTGCTCTCATGGGTGGTCAACCAGATGCATATAGGAAGCTTACAAACAGGACCAGAGCAAAACAGTGCCTCTCTTAACCTTTGATTCCCAACAACAGATATTCAGGATATGCTCCGACCATGGAGGCAGAGCATAGCCACTGCGGCTAGAAGCCATTGGCAGGCTTACCCTCCACAAATCTGTCTAATCCCCTTTTAAAGCCATCCAAGTTGGTGACCATCACTCATAGAATCACAGAATTGTAGAGTTGGAAGGGACCCTAAGGATCATAGAGTCCAACCCCTTGTGATGCAGGAATATACAGCTGTCTCATACAGGGATCAGCACCACACTCTAGCCAACTGAGCTATCCAGGATGAATGCAATGGAGATGAGCATTGCAAGACTCCCAAATCAGTACTTCGAAGCTTGGAGATAACAGTCTTGACACCATCACTAAATTCAAGCTTTACAGTATGAAGTGAGGAAAGATAGCACATATAATAGCGCTAAGGGAAAGGAATGTGTAATATGTAGGGAATGTGATACATCTGAGGAAGCCCTGAGTTACAGGAGTTTTATAGCTTCCTAGGACTAAGAACCCCCTTCATGGATCACTGCCTTGCCGTGGCGAAGGGGCTTGAATAACTCAGAGAAGCTATGAACTATGCCGAGCAGGGCACCCAAGATGGACAGGTCATAGTGGAGAGTTTAGACCAAACGTGATCCACCTGGAGGAGAAACCAGCAAGCCACTCCAGTATCCCTGCCAAGAAAACTCCATGGACAAAGACAACAGGCGTATAAAAGTTATGATGCTGGAAGATGAGCCCCTCAGGTCGGAAGGTGTCCAACATGCTACTGAGGAAGAACGGAGGACAAGTACAAGTAGATTCAGAGCTGATGAAGAGACTCTTGAGAGTCCCATGGACTGTAAGAAGATCAAACCTATCCATTCTGAAGGAAATCAGCCCTGAGGGCTCACTGGAAGGACAGATTGTGAAGCTGAGGCTCCAATACTTTGGCCACCTCATGAGAAGAGAAGACTCCCTGGAAAAGACCCTGATGTTGGGAAAGATGGAGGGCACAAGGAGAAGGAGACGACAGAGGATGAGATGGTTGGACAGTGTTACAGAAGGGACCAACATGCGTTTGGCCAAACTGCGGGAGGCAGTGGAAGACAGGAGTGCTGGGCATGCTCTGGTCCATGGGGTCATGAAGAGTCAGACACAACTAAATGACTAAACAACAACAAAATACTAAGAACAAGATGGACATATTAATGGCATTGGAAAACCTCCATAGAATTATTTTTTATTGGTTCCTGAAGTCCAGTGTGTGTGGTATATGAATTAATCCTACCGGGCCAACCACTTTGTATACAATTTGTCTTCCCTTGCTCAGAAGACAAGATCAGAAGCCTCTTGATTAAGATCATCTCTGTGAAATATTTATGTAGATCCAAACATTTAAGCTATTGACTTCTTTCATGTAGTTAAATGATGTGATCCCAAGGGCACATATAAATTGGGTATGCATTATGTGCAATAAATCACCTTGAATTTTCAAGCAAACAAAAACCCGAAAACAATCAGTGGTGAACTTAATGGGCACTGAGGATCCTCCTTGTTATTATTTAAGCTTAAGTTAGACAGGATGTAATTCAAAGCTCTCTGTTTGAGCTGTACTTAGTTGCTGCTATTTACAAGACAGGCATTTTTCAAGCGGCCGGGATTATTAATTCTAGATATTAATTGCATGCTGCAAAACCGACAATTTGGTCAGAAACAATGGAGCAAAGGCTGTAGATAAATAAACTCAGAAGCCCATTAGCTGCTGCCATACTAATGGGCCATTGTGCATATTGGCTTTCAGAGCTAAAGGTTGGGACAAATTAATATTATATCTACTTAACTAATTACGCATGTAAACAGTTTACAGCTCCTTGAAGAAAGCAGTATGAGAAAACACTTAGCAGTTGTTCCGCCAGCTGGATTTTCAAATGCTGCACAAGCATTAATTGACTCCCCACCGCCAGCATGCTTTCACTGATGTCCAGAACCTAATTTATAAATAGATTTTATGATATGGTCTCTCTGTACCCAACAGGTACATGAAATCAAACAGTGTTGCCCACCCGTTTTTGCATGCATTTTAATGTTACCTCAGTTGAAGAACGTATCTTACAAGACAATCCTATATGTCTTTGCTCAGAAGTAAGTCCCACTGAGTTCAGTTGGGCATACTCCCGTGTAAATGGGTATAAGATGGCAGCCTTAATTATTTTATTCCCCCAATGTGGCTTTGAATAGTTTAATTTTAGAGTGGAAAATTCCAGAGACAATAAACCAGCAACAAAGCCTATCTCTCTATTTTTCTTTTTTTCTTCTTACAAGAGTGAGCTCTGCTCATGTTATGACTCCCTTAAATCCTGTCTGTGTCTGGAAACATGTGCAAATGCTTTAGTGAATGAGAAATATACAGTGGTACCTCTAGTTGCAGACACGATCCGTTCTGGGGTGCCATTTGCACCCTGAAAAGTCCTCAACTAGAGCAATAGAGCGCTTCTGCACATGTGTTAAGTGCGCAGAACACTTCTGCGCATGCGCAAAGCATGCAGAACGCTTCTGCGTGTGCACGCATGGTGAAACCCGGAAGTACACACTTCCGGATTTACCGCATTCACAAGCCGAAAAGACGCAAGATGAACCTAACATAACATGAGGTATAACTGTATCTGATCAGGTCCCAGACAGATTGGCCAAATGCAAGACTCCAGACGTAGTTCAAAAGTTTGTGGGTCTGTCCAGTAAGACATGTCTTAGGATCTTCAATCAATAAGCTCTGGGGCAGTTCAGTTGATAGAGCATGAGATTCTGAATCTTAGGGCTGTGGGTTCAAGCTCAACTTTGGGGGAAAGTTTCCTGCATTGCAGGGGATTCGACTAGATCAGCAGTTCTCAACCTGTGGTTCCCCAGATGTTGTCGGACTACAACTCCCATAATCCCTGAGCTAGCTAGCGGTGATGAGAGTTGTAGTTCAACAACATCTGGGGACCCACAGGTTGAGAAAGGCTGGAGTAGATGATCCTAGTGGTTCCTCCCAACTCTATGATTCTCTACGATAGGGCTGCCTTTACCATAGTAACACAGGAAATTGCCTTATACTGAGTCAGACCATTGGTCCATCGAGCTGCTAGCCCTGTTTGTTACCATTGTCTCTCATGGCTGTTGGGCTGCTGCTTACGAGCTACTTCACTCCCCAGCTCCTTCTGCTTCCTCTTTTCTGGATATAAGTCGCATCCCAACCAATCAGGGATCCTGCAGGAAGCAGCATGTGATGACACTACATAGCCAGTCAGATTTAGCTATGTGAGACCACTGAGGTCAAGCATAGGCAATAAAGAGTGAGGGCAATGCAAATGAGCAGTCAAACATTATTGCTAGGTGTCCTGGAAAATAATCAAAGAATGGAGGCATTTTTTTCAGAACAACTAAAAATATTCACATGGGGATGCACACACAAAGAAACTAGTGAATAGTTTCAGCTGAGCTTGCGCCCTCCAATGTGACTGCCATCCACGCAGAAAATGCAAACCCGAACACTAATCTTCAATATATAACAATTTCAAGAACCGCTTCTAGAATGTACACTGTGTCACAGCCCTGAGAACAAAGCATCTTTCATTTACTGTTTATTCCTTGCCAGGGTTGAGTCTTTCCAAGATCTGACTGAAGAAGTTGTATGCACGGCAGCGGGGGCAGGAGAGGTTGCGGAAACATTTGCATGCAGAGCCCAAACATCATCTGCTCTTTATCATCCCTGTTTGGCACAAAAAGGGGACACAGTGCATTTGTCTTTGTGGAGGGCACTCTGGCATCTGTACTGAAACTGCAGCTGAAGGGTGCAGTGAGAAGAAAAGTTCTTGTGTCACATTAGTCGTAATTGCACACTTACAGACAGCAGCATCTAGCTGTTGGGAGGAACCATCAGGATGAGTAAACATGGAATATTGCAGGCATGTCCGGGAAACCCACACCAAAAAAAGCTCAACAACGTCTGTGTCCAGATGTTCACTTCTTGAAATATGGCAATCCTAGTTGGGTTCTGCTTGAAGGTTTTCCGCATTTGGGTGTTCACTATGAGAACAGGGTGCCTGATCCAGCAAGCTCTTCTCATCTTCTTATGGACTCACAGAGAAAATGTTACACTGTTAGTAAGGCTGTGAGCTTTGTGGACCAGTCCACTGTATTCCATGAGATTAGCCCCAGGTAAAGGGTGTACAGCAGAGGCAGTCAACCTGGCACCCTCCAGATCCTGTTGAACTCCAATTCCCATCAGCCCTGAATAGCATGGTAAATAGTCAGGGATGATAGGAGTTGTAGTCCAACAGGATCTTGAGGGCACCACTTTGGTTTACCTACTGTATCAGATTGCAGTCTTAATAGGCTGGCTATTACCTGAGCAAAGTAATTTATTGAACATATGTATTTATTAATCAGCATACTATAAAATCACTCTTATGCAACTGTTTTAGTAGAAAGAGTTATATATATATATATATATATATATATATATATATATATATATATATAAACTGTATTGGATTTGAAATTGCTTTTATATATAAAACTGCTTTAGATATGTTATTATTGTTAAATCACTTCAAGATGTTGTATACGAATTGACTCAGAAATGGAGTTAAATAAAAATCAAGCAAATTCTTTTGAACTATGCAAATGGTAGGGGGCGTTTGTACTTACACAACTATTTTTTTGGCTTAAAATCATAGAAGCATAGAATTGTAGAGCTGGAAGAGCATGGAGGGCCATTCCTGCAATGAAGGAATCTTAGCCAAACATCCAAGACAGATGACTATCCAACCTCTGCTTAAAAGCCACCAATGAAGGAGAGTCTATCACTTTCTGAGGGAGTCTGCCCCACTGTCAAACAGTTCTTACTGTCAGAGATTTCATCCTGGTGTTTAGTTGGAATCTCCTTTCCTGTAACTTGAAGCCATTGGTCTGGGTCCTACCCTCCAGAGCAGGAGAAAACAAGCTTGCTCTTTAGATATTGGAAGATGGCTATCATACCTCCTTTCAGTCTCCTCTGTTCCAGGCTAAATATACCCAACTCCCTCAACCATTCCTCATAAGGTTTGGTTTTCAGACCCTTTATCATCTTGGTTGCCTTCCTCTGCACACGTTACAGCTCTTCAACATCCTTCTTAAACTGTGGTGCCCAGACACAGTACTCCAGGTGGGGTCTGACCAAGGCAGAATTGAGTGGGATTGTTACTTCCCTTGATGGGGACACTATACTTCTGTTGATGCAGCCTAGTGTCCTAGGAGTACTTTAACGCTGATTAGTTAGCACTATATATTATCAGTTCCAGTCAGAACATACAGAACAGATGTTCTCCACCATGAAACTCTCCACCTACCTTGATAACACCATTTAGCTGAATTACCTTTGCTAATATCGAGATATTAGCATTAAAGCCACAGCCGTTACTGAATCCCAGTCGTATCAGAAAGCAATTAAATGCCTTTCCAGCATCTCCTCAAGGGGAAAAAATGATAATGTGGGTCTTCTGATGGCTCCAGGGATGAAGGAGTTTTTATTTAATCGTATTATACAGTTTCCAGTGGATTTCTCCTCCCCAGCCGACATTAAATTAAAGTGGCTAGTGGAATCCCTCTTATGTGGAAGGATCAGAATGCATGCCGGGATTCAGCTGTGTGTCTGGAGTCCAGATGTTGAATTCTGGGCATGCTGAAAGGAGAAATGCTTTGACGTCACAGCATGAAAGCTACCAGAGTGAGAATACTTACCATGAGAAAATCATCTGTGTAGATGATGAGAAGTTCATCAACTGATGCTCACCTAATGATGACCTCCATGTGTGAATGGACCATCATAGTCCTAACATTATAGGAATCTCTTACGATGTCCCAACAACCCAGATACAATGCAGACTTTCAGCTGTCTGTCATTGGGAGTTGCTTCATATGTACACGTGCATTGTTTGATGACCGAACCGCCAACTAATATTCTGCGTGTGAAGGTGGTAGCCCTTGATATCCTCCCTGAATTTGTCTATTTTATTTTTTTTAAAAAAACTATCCAAGTTGGTAGTCATCACTACATCTCATGCAAGCAGGGACGCGGGTGGCGCTGTGGTCTAAACCACTGAACCACTAAACCAGCCACTTGCTGATCGGAAGGTTGGCGGTTTGAATCCCTATGATGGGGTGAGCTCCTGTTGCTCTGTCCCTGCTCCTGCCAACCTAGCAGTTCGAAAGCATACCAGTGTGAGTAGAGAAATAGATACCGCTGCGGTGGGAAGGTAAATGGCATTTCCATGCACTAAGGGTTCCATCACAGTGTCCTGTTGTGCCAGAAGCAGTTTAGTCATGCTGGCCACATGACTCAGAAAGCTGTCTGTGGACAAATGCCGGCTCCCTCGGCCTGAAAGCGAGATGAGCGCCGCAGCCCAATAGTCACCTTTGACTGGACTTAACCAGGGGTCCTTTGCCTTTTACCTTACCTATCATGCAAGCAAATCCCATAGTTTAACTGTGTACTGTGCAAAAAAGTCATTGGATGGCCCCAAGTCCTAGTATTATGAAAGAGGCAGAAAGATGCTATGTGCCCTTTCTCCGTGCCATGCATAACCTTATGCACCTCTATCATCTGTTGTTTTTGTAAAATAAAGCACTGAACATGTTGTAACCTTTCCTCATAGAGCAGCAGCTCCAGCCCCTTGCTCTTTTCGATTGCCTCTTTTATAGCACTACAGGAATCTCAACTAAAGAATCCCTGACAGATGGCCATCCAACCTCTGCTTTAAAATCTCCAGGGAAGGGGAGTCCACAAACTCCCAAGGGAGAACATTCCACTCACAAACAGCACCTACTGTCAGAATGTTCTTCCTCATGTTTTCTGGTAACATGAAGCCATTGGTTCAAATCCTACCCTCCAGTGCAGGAGAAAACAAGCTTGTTCTCTCTTCCATGTGGAAGCCCTTGAGATATTGGGAGATGGCTATCATATTTCCTCTCCTCTGTTCCAAACCAAACCAAACCAAACCATCTTCTGTACACATTCCAGCTTGTCAACATCCTTCTTAAATTTCTAAATATCTTAAATATTCTCTTAAATACTATTAAATATCCTCTTTGAGGCCAGGCAACCAAAACCTTACACAGAACTGTGGCCATGACTGGCCACCTTAGGAGGAGAATACACAGTACGATACACTTCCGGCGGGTAGGGAGATGGACATAGCCTCCAAAGGTGAAGAAATGCTTGTTATCAGATTTGGTTATCTTAGCCATAGGATCTACAGCAAATTATTATTCTACAACTAAGAACAACTTAAGAACACATTAGGAACACAAATTAAGGGGCACGATTTAATTTTCTAGATTTCGTCTACTGATCAAAGGTTGGCTTCTGTTTAATCTCTCCCTGCTGCCATTTCTCATTTCTGTTTTTTTCCAGCCCATTTCATGCCATTTTGTGATTGAACCAGAAGGTTTCTGGGCTCTTATCCCAGCTGATCCCAATGACTCAACTGTGTGTGACTTTGGGCAATTCGTAGAACTTCCGTGTGAGTGTCAAGGTCAACTCAGCCATGAAGCTGGATGAAATGCAGGGCCTTGCAAAAAGGCAAAAATTTGCATCAGAACGTAATCCCGCTGTACTAAATATACGGAAAACCAAGAGATTGCATCCTCTTGTTTTAATGTCATTAAAAGGCCAAAAGCACATGTCAAACACACACAAAGGCTTGCAGCTGTAGTTCAACCGCCTTTCTTGAGGACTCAATTCTGGAAGGGGTTGAGTGGGAGTGAAGAAGCAGCGGGAGGGAAGGGGTGTTTAATTATTTTCCCACCCACAATTTGCTGGAC